AAACTGAGGGATTAGCCATGGGAAGCCCCCTCAGTCCCATCCTCGCTGATATCTGCATGCATTATTATGAATCAAAATTGTTTGAAACTTTAAACTTCCCGGCATGGTTCCGTTACGTAGACGATACCTGTACCCTGTTTAAAGGTAATAAAGTGATTTAAATAAAGTTCTTTCAACAATGAATTCTATTGATCCTGCTATTCAGTTCACTTTTGAACTTCAGACTTGCAATTCTCTACTGTTTCTCGACATTCTGGTCACACGTAATGCATCCAACTTCCGTACTTCGGTTTACCATAAACCTTCATCGGTTTGCTTTCCACCACACTTTAAATCATGTCCTCCGACTAAACAAAAAGCTAGCTTGATTTTATTCCTATGTGTTCCGTGCTCTTCAAGTTTGCTCCTCCAAACTATCCCATCATGAAGAACTAAATTATTTAAAAGCAATAGCTATTGACAGGGGCTTTTCACCCAACATTATTAATCAAGCAGTTAAAAAATTCTCATCTCAATACATTGAAAGGCACACTCTTGTTTTAGGAGACTATAAAAATTCTGCTGTTATTCCCTTCTTTCCATCAATTAGCTATAAAGTTGCACATATTTTGCAGAAATTTAACTTTCAGGTTGTTTATTCTTCCATCAATAAAATTCCGAGTTCCATACTCAAGGACCCCATTCCGGATATGAATTCTTGGGGTATTTATAGGATTCCTTGCCAGTGTGGTTTAATTTACATTGGCCAAACTAAGAGAGCCTTAAAATTTCGCGTCAAGGAACATGAGGCATATGTTAGAAAAAAGGAAACACAGAAGTTCTGTTGCTCAACATTGTTGGTCCGAAAATCACACTTTCAATTTTTCTGCTGCCAAAATTATTCAAAAAACATCTTCCATTGGAGAAATGGATTTTCTAGAGGCATTTCACATTCAAAAAAAAAATCTTTCTCTTCTAGTTAACGATCCTAATTCCAATCCATCTTATCTTCGGCCTTAAAGAAATTATGTTTTAGCTCTGGTTTTATCAACAGATGGCGCCAGTTGCTTATTCTTGTCCAGGCTTTCTTATTTTATCTAATCATTATTTCCTATCTTATTCATTTTCGGTTTTGGAGCTGAGGATGGTGGTTTGGTAAAACCATCGTAACTAGTCCTGTGAAATTTTGAAAATATAACGCTGATTTTTGTTGTTTGACTTCTGAATTAGTATTTGTTCGGCTTGTTATTGTGTCTTAATTATAGAAGGTATCAGTTGGAAAAATGGGAACAAAAATCCTTAATAACCGTAACCCAGTACAACAGCAACGCTTTTGTTTGCTTTCAGTGTCTCAGGAAGTGGAAGTGTTTTTGTCGGATGTAGAAAAATATTTACAAAGTGAAGTAGTAAAAACGTAAAACATTTGGAATTGCAATAGTTAAGAAAGTAAGGCGAGATACAGGAAATGACATTAGTCTCAATTAAAAAGAAAAAAAATCTTAACTATCTGAATAAGAATTCAAACCTGTAGAATTTATAAAATATATAAAAGTAAATTTGTAATATGATCTAAATCAGCAAACCTTGCAAAATCAATTAATGAGTTAAGTGTTTTTATGAACTTGGACACTGTTTATTACGAGACATTGGTTTTTATTGCTAAATTCAAGAACATAAATTTACTTTAGTAAATGCAATTCTTTTCATTTTGCAATTTATTTTCATTTTCACCCTGCTGGGATTTAGCTAGTTATAGCAGGTTATTTGTTTTAATTTATATTAACGTTTATATATACATCTCTTAATATAAAAATATTCTTACATTTTCGCATTTCTAAATGCAACAAGCGCCTAAAAAACATATGCCGGGAAATGCAAATAATTTTCCCCTTGTTTCTTATATTTAATTACTTTTACATTTTTTTTCGGTGGTTTATACAGTATTTGTGCCATTTCTTTTTCTACTATTAAGAGATTCAATGTGATATTTAAAACTAACTTTGAATTTAATTTCATGTATTGAAAGAATATGTCGAAAAATTCAAACATTACTTAATATGGACCTAAACCATAAATATAAATGTGTAACACTTAAATAAGTTTCCAGGTTGTTGATTTTTTTTTAAATTCTCATGGATAGTACGAAAAAATAATCCCGTGAACAAAATGCCTCATATTTCATTACAATCACAGACTAATATGTGAAAGATTCCTGAAAAGTAATCAGAATTTCGATGTTTCAGCAGAATGTTTATCTTTTTAACATTAAATTCTTCACCAGTTTAAGAACTAGTTTTATCAGCAACAATATTAATACAGTGCATCACTATTCATGTTAAAGTTCTCAACTTTACGTGTCATCTGTATGACATTCATGTTTCAGTTTTCTAGATATAATCTGAACTCATTATAGATGCCCCTATTCTTTTCACTAACCCATGAATTTCAAAAGTTGTATATGATAAGTCGGATTCTTCAGCATCAACCCCTGTTCAACCCTTTATTTTTATAGCGAAAAATATTCTACTTCAGGATTCGAAGTAGATAAGATTTCTGGTATTCAGATTAACTGAGGTACAGCTAGATGGATAAAAATGTTTTTTATAACAACCTATTGTTATGAACTTTATGTATAAGTAAATAATTTTAATAAAGCTATCTGTAAATTATAACATTTTTTGTATAATGTCACATGAACGTCATCAGAAAGAGAAATATCGCATGGAAAATAATGTAACAGGGGTAAGAGCATTTAACACCATTTTAAGGTAAATATTGATGAATATATTATAAATAATAAATATTGATGATAATAGCACCAAACTGGCTATTATTCTGGTGACAAATATTTGTCTCCAAGGAAAATCGCAAGAAGTCGCTACGCTTGTCGACAATATGGAGACATTTTGGTCAGATCCCTATGTAACTGTAACTGGCCCCATGCGTATGTAACTGTAATTGTGTCCAACTCTATGTAACTGCAACTGTATATGTCTTCCAGCAATGTCGAAAAATCGAAGATATTGCAAATTTCTTGTCGGAAGGAGGAAAAATATATGAGATTAGAGAAAATATTTGGTTTTAGTTACTTCAGAGTATTGAGAGACTTCCGTAAGAGCTTCGCTATTAAATGCGTTTCACTTTGAGTTGTGTTAAATGTTCTCAGTCGTTTGAACTGGCAGCGCTTGATAGTGGATAAAATGAATACCGAGAAGAGTTATATACGTAATTTTGTGTGAAAAGTTTCAGAAATGTAAGGATTTTGGAAAATTTAATTTCTTTAATTTTTCATTTTTTCTGTGTGCATTCAATCCATTATGAACCCGTACTTACATACGTAGAAACCACGTATGAACGTACGTAGAAAATGTTATATGTATTAAACATACTTCAGAGTTTGGCATAAAATACGCTTATTATTTTGCTTCTCTCATATATTTAATTAATTCAATTTTAAGGAAAGCTATAACTACCAGGCCATTTTTTTTGTGATATAATTCCGTGAATGAACATAGATATTTTAAAATCATATGCTAGACAGGAATTTTGTCATTTACATCGTGCAAAAAATACACTGCGGTTACTTGTTTTCTTTACGTAATATATGCTTCCCATATGTTTTAATTACGCACTAATGTACACTATTCGAATAACGAATGTCGCTGCCTACGCATCTAACTATCTAAAGACATAAATGCAACATCTAAATTTCTGAAAGCGGTGGTTCAGCTATAATTCTATGATCAAATACTCAATCTAGTTTTAAAAGGATTTATAAAAATACTAAAATTAATCTAATCTAGAATCTAGAATCGAATCTAATATTACATCTCAGAAGCAGCGTTCTAGCTGCGTCATAACACCTAAAGTCAAGTTCTCACTGTTGCCATTCTGAGGCAGAGAAAAGTTTGTTTCTAATCAAACCGGGACTTCGGCATAATGAAAGTTTCTAGTCAAACCGGAACATCCCGGCTCCTGTTGGACGATTGTCCAACATCATTTGGAAATGGGAGTGGACTGATATTGGAGACGGCTCGGTGAAAGATTCCATCTGAAGTTCTGACGTCTACGACTCGTACCAGTCCATCTGGACCAGGAAAGGTTTCCTCGATGCTTCATGGGTGTCTTGTTTCTTTCCTTTAACAAGACTAGTTGTCCTGCCTTGAGATTGGACCTCACTTGATTCCATTTTGAGCCGTTCTGCAAATGATTAAGATATTCCACGCTCCAAGGGTTCCAGAAATTAGCTCTAAGTTTTTGAATTAAAGTCCATCTAGAAGACAAGGTCAAAGAATCTACAGAATCATTCGGTTCTGGTATCGACAAAAGTGGAGCTTCTATTAGGAAATGACCTGGAATCAAAGGCTGAAGATCTGTTGGATCAGCCTAAATAGGTGATAGAGGTCGAGAGTTCAAGCAGGCTTCTATTTGTGTAATTAATGTATACAGCTCTTCAAAGTTTAAAATCGTTGTTTTCACGACCTTTGTCAAAATTCTCTTTATTGATTTTATATTAGCCTCCCATAACCCGCCAAAATGCGGGGAAAAGACGGAGGAATAAATCTCCATGTTATACCTTCTTCGGAACTAAAGCGCTGAATAGGATCCGATTTACAAATTCTAAAGAGTTTATCAAGAACATTCTTCGTTCCCTTGAAGTTCGTAGCGTTATCACTCCAAACAATGGATGGTTTAGATCGTCTGCTAATAAACCTTCTAAGACATGCTAAAAATGCTTCAGTAGACAAATCCGATACTATTTCTAGATGAATAGCCTTTGTAGTAAAGCAAATAAATATCGCGATGTATGATTTTAACTTAACTCTAGATCTTTTAAAATTAGGCTTGGTGATAACTAGACCTACAAAGTCCAGTTCTATTTTTTCGAATGGTATAGTTATTACAACTTTATCTCTGGGTAAGTCTCCCATCATTTGGTTTATGGTTTGGTTCCTTGTTCGAAAGCACGTCATGCATTTACTCATAACGCGTCTAACTCTATCTTGTCCGGAAGGTATCCACTATAATTGTCTAATAAGAGAAAGTGTTGTTTGAACGCCCGAATGAAGAGATTTTTTATGATAATAATCTATGAGTAATTCAGTGAAATAATGTCTTTTGGGTAAAAGAAGTTGATGTTTGTGGTCTTCTGAAAGATTGGAGTAACGTAGTCTCCCACCAACTCGTAAAAGATCATCTTCATCAAGAAATACATTTAAGGATAAAACCTTACTATTACTTGGAACGGATCGTTTCGACTGCAGGTACTTAATTTCAAGTTGAAATTCAGAATGTTGTACTGATTGAACACATTTGACTAGCACCTTTGTTGCATTCTGTAGTTCAGAAGCACTCAAAAAACTTTCTTTTCTTAATGGTGGATTGGTTCTACAGTTGTTCACAAACCTTAAACACCACGCAGTAGTTCTAATCAATTTTCTAAATGACGAATACTTTTTAATGAATTCGTTCTCAATGGAATTTTCACCTGTGACTATTGAGTTCACTACAGCTCCCCTTCGAAGTTCAAGCTCTTCATGATCCTTGATATCTCTTACTGATTCTGCAAGTTTAGGCCACGAATCGATGCTCTGAAATAGCCACTTAGGTCCATGCCACCACATGTCACTATTTCGTAGTTCAGACAACGTTATTCCTTTCGTGGAATTTCTCTTTGTTCCTCTGTTCAGCATATCAGCCGGATTTTCATCTCCAGGGCAATAATTCCAGGACTCAGATGATGTTTTCTCTCGTATTTCCATTACTCGATGTTGGATGAATGGCTTCCATTTATTTAAATCGCCCTTCATCCAATGTAACGTAACAGAAGAGTCTGACCAAAAATATACATTCATCTGGAGTCTTTTCTCTAACTGTTCTTTCACATTTGAGGCTAATCTTGCTCCGATGAGCGCCCCCATCAGCTCTAATCTTGGAAGGGACATCTTCTTCAGTGGAGCTACTCTGGTTTTGGAAATGACAAAACTACTTCCTATTTCACTGTCCGTCGTGACGTATCGCAGCTATATCACAGCTCCATATGCTTTCTGACTTGCGTCGGTAAAGCAATGCATTTGAATATCTCTCAATTCAGACTTGTTAGTCTTTCGGAAGTAATGTCGCGGAATGTTTACATCCTGAATCGCTGACAGTTCATTAATCCATTTTTTCATTCTGTTTTCAAAGTCCAATGGTAACCGGATCATCCCAATCTACTCCAAGTTGCCCAAATTTCCTGCATTAGTATTTTTGCCCTAATAATGAATGGACTTATGAAATCCAATGGGATCGTAAAGCTTTCCAATGGTTTTAAGAACTTCTCTTTTTGTCATTAGCTTTGTTTTCCCCTTGAGCTTGATTAGTTAGATTTTATGATTCTATCCTTCAGAAGGTCTTCCTTGTAATTCCATTTATATCCCAATACCTTCTGTTACTAGAACTTTCTGGATTTCACCATTTTCGTATTCGTCAAAAACTTCCTGCAGATTTCCACAATTTGTTTTCCACTTTTCGCATGTTGAAACCAGCAGCCTTCAATATATATCTAATATATTCATATATGAGTTTGGCTTCGTTTTCGTCTTCACTCCCCACCTATTAAATCGTCTACGTATAAACATTCGTTCAATAGTTTAACTGCTTTCTGATTTGTTTCTTTAAAAGGTATTTATGTGATGTTTGATAGTAGCGGCAAGCAAAAATCGCGCTGGATGTAACTCCAAACAAAACGCGAGTCATCCTAAGTATTTTCGTGTTAGGTTTCCCATCCTTATCTGTAAGGTTATTTGCCCACAAAAATCTTACAGCATCCCTATCTTCAGGTGACAGAGAAATCTGGAGAAAGGCTTGTTCAATGTCGGCAGTAAACGCTATGCTATGTGTACGAAATTGTATTAATATCTCTAACAATGGTGGATTTAAATTAGGACCGGAACAGAGACAATCGTTTAAAGAGTATTCATTTTTCGAATGGCTGGATGCATCAAATACAACTCTTACGGGTTTATCAGGTCGAATAACTGGCTGGTGAGGCATGTAATAAATTCTTCCTGTTTCTTCAGAACTTGGATCAATTTCCTCAGCTATACTCATTTTTAAATGCTGTTCTATAACTGAGTGATACTGCTGATGAAGCAGTGGATCATTTCTCAACCATTTAACCAGTTTATTAAAGCGAACTTCTACATTTACGTAATTCGTTTTTAATTCAGACGAATGTTCATTCCAAGGGAGTTTAACCTCATATCGCTTTTCTTTAAATTTGATGGTTCTGTTAAAATTCTCTAAAATGTCAGTTATCTATTTTGCTAATTTCCTTCCCTTCTTCAATTCCTCAATGTTTTCTAATTCCCAAAACTTGCTTTAACTGTGTTGAGACCAATTTTGTCGTCAACAATAATGTCCATTGTTTAACAATTTACCGTTAGAATCAGTCCGGCCTTGAAGCACCATCCAAATATTTTTCGGAAGCTATAAGTTTATTTTTAAAACGTTTAAGTCTACCAGTTATTACTTCATGATAGTAATCTCCTCCGATCAAAACAGCAATATTTTTGTCACTGAATTCACAAGAATCAGCTAATTGTAATCCTATTAACTCTTTGTTAATTTTGGAAACTGGGATATCAGGGAAAGGCAAATTAGTTGCACATATTTGGTTACACACGAATCCATATTTTCGAATATTTACCGACTTCCCGGCATATAGCACCAAAAAATGTTTTAATTACGCACTAATGTACACTATTCGAATAACGAATGTCTCTGCCTACGCATCTAACTATCTAACGACGTATCTAAATGCCACATCTAAATTTCTGCAAGCGGTGGTTCAGCTATAATTCTATGATCAAATACTCAATCTAGTTTTAAAAGGATTTATTAAAATACTAAAATTAATCTAATCTAGAATCTAGAATCGAATCGAATGTTATATCTCAGGAGCAGCGTTCTAGCTGCGTCATAACAAATCTAAAGTCAAGTTCTCACTGTTGCCATTCTGAGGCAGAGAAAAGTTTGTTTCTAATCAAACCGGAACTTCGGCATAGTGAAAGTTTCTAGTCAAACCGGAACACCATACGAAACAAAAACAAAAGACATTGCATAAAAGAAACTGAGATGTCAATGACCAAGCTTTGGTCTATCAAAGTGAATGCTGTTGAATTATTTCTACTTCCTTGGACGAAGTAAAGGAAATATTGTAATCACAAAAAATTCCGGGTATCATATTTCAATGAAAATTATAATTTTGACCGCTATCGAATACAATTTAGTGATGCTTTTGCATGACATCTGTACATAAGTACACAATAAAGGACTCTTTTTTTTCCCCCAAACGAATTATAAAACTGATTTTAAATGGATTCAGTAGAGATTTTTTTCTTGGCGTCTGTAAGTATATATGTATCTCGCATAACTCAAATAACAATATTCTCAGAACGTTGAAATTTTGTATGTGGGAGTGCATGTAGATGTGCACCTTCCTTTTTGGTTGCAAAAGTATATAAATATATGCATGTTATATCCTCCTCTATATACCCACTCTATTACTCGGCTGAGTGAGCTCTGTTTCTTTATTTTGATATGTTTGTAAATCGTGAATTTTTTGCGTTAAAAACGATTGAATTATGTTGTTCATTCCTTTCGGTTAAGGTTTTTATGCCTTTAGTTAACCTGCATGTTATAGTTGTATAATTATGAACAATTTAAAAGTTCTTTAAGTTAGTCTAAGCCTAATTGTTTTTAACCATAGCAGCCATGTTTGTTTACATTTAAATCTTAGTAGAAATGTGGATTTGTTGCCAATCTAGAGAAACTAAGCTTCTCTACAACAAAGTAACGTCTTATTTTATTTTTTCGAATTAAATTGTATTTAATCCATTTAAGTTATTAAATTATCCCATATATTGACTCAGCATAGCGTCCACACCAAATTAAGTCAGCTTCTACACCTCTGGTGTCTTTTGCCGAGTGAGTGTTCGAAAGTAAACTTTCAGATTTGTTGACCAAACAATCTGTCTTCTTGCAGGCTGGCTCAATTGCTTGTTTTTGCGAAGAAACTGTAATTTTAATTGTATTTTTTTTTTCTTGTTTAAAATTTAACTGTATTTGTTGCATTAATTGAATGAGATATCATCTCTATTAAAATTCGAGCAAATACGTGTTTCATATTAGCAGATAATACTGTAGTCAGTCTGTTTCGGAGAGAAGAGAATTTTTACGAATAGCGCATGCGCATTAGGTAAGCAGCGCTGAATAGCTTGTGAAAAAATGTTTTTTTTTTTTTTTTTTTTTTTTTTTTTTTAATTTGTTAAATTTCTTTTATATATAGTTTTAAATTATAATATTTGAATAGGACATGTGGCAATGATTGATTAATTCTTCAGATGATATAATTTTTGCTCATTCTGAGTTATAAAATGAATGAGATTTAACGCTGTTAAGTGGACCTAGCGCCAGAGTATCGCTGTGATAAATAAATAAAGTGAATTTTAAAAAGAGCATTTATTCTATTGTGGTTTATGCGCTATCGACGAAGTAGATTTCATTCAATTAAATTTAAAATAAATGCAGGAAAAATGCGTATAATTTAATATTCCGAACAAGGAAGTCATGTGTTGTACACATAAAATTTTTTCACTTTAATCGCTGATTTCTGTTAACGAAGATTTGAGTTGTAGTATTAATTTCTCCCCAACAGAACATTGTTGAATATATCGGATAAAATCATCATTGTAGAACTGAAGAAAAAGGCAATAATTAAATATATAAATAACTCCTTCTTTTAATGCAATATAATGATACGTACATAAAACCACCCCATTCCAAAAGTCAATCATAGCAGTTGCTTCACTTTTATTCCACTTAACCAAAGAGGAGAATTGCAAGTAACAATCGGAAATCCCTAATCAGGGATACATCCAAGCCGTCGTTGCATAAACATGCCGCTCATGAGAGAACGTTTAATCGAAAGCCAGCCAATACGCGAAAGGCAATTAGGGTTGCAAATTAACATGGAATATGTACCGGTACTTATGAGTCATCGGCAGAGTTCTGGGTACAGTAATAGGGTTTCTGTGGCCTCTCATCCATCACCAGGAGAATCTGTATTTAATAAACGTTGAATACAGCAGTCACTGGCAGCGCCTTGTTTCAGACTGGAATGGAAGGGTTACTCGAAAATGGATTGGTTTCTCGAGAGGATGCTATTTCTCAGTTGCTACACTGTGTAGTGTGAGAGAAGTATTTAGAGGTCACAAACTGGGCTGTCTGGATAAAATTTATGCAGAAGCCAGGAAGTGGTTGTTGTTGCAATTGTCGACATTTGGAATCAATATAATTGATTGAATGCTTTTAACTTTAAGCCACGAAGATTTTCACGTAATTATACTGAAGTTAATGTTTAGTTGAAACTTGGAATGCTAAACAAACAGAATAGTCTTGCACAAAAATAGTCTAACACCTTGTTATTAAATACGTTCGTGAGGAATTTTAGACATTTTAAAATCGTAATTTCAATATGAAAATTCGAGAACAGTGAATTAGACTTTATGAAAGACATAAAGGCAATGTTTGTAATTTAAACGTAAACCGCAAATGTAATTCAATGTATAATTTGTAGCGTTCATATGTATATTTTGTAGCGCATCTTTGAGATCAAGAATTTACTATAAAAATAACTCATGATCTTTACTTCTCAGTCATCTTTGCATTGATATAATTTATGAACGAACATAGTCCTTCTAATATTTAGTATATTTTTAGCCCAAATGGCTTTAGCCCAGAAGGTCTATTAAATTCGTTTTCGCATTTTGCGTCGATTCACTTTCTGCGTTGTTTAACTATTTCCACCAAATATTACAGCCATGTATTATATTTAAAGAAATTACATAATGAAGACTCTACATAAATGCATGTTTCTCGAATTGAGATAAAACAGCGATAC